TTATCAAATAGAAGGTTTGCATATATTTTTCTCCTCTTCTGTAGGTTGCTTAATGTTGTTGGTTGCTTCTGTTGCTATACAGAGCTTTTAAGTTTGATGTAATTATCAGTTGTTGATTTTTGCTTTTGATTTTGTCATGTCCAAAAATATCTTTGCCAAGATCAAGGTCAAGAGCTTTTCACATTTTTCCCCCCCTAGAAATTTTATTGCCTTCAGATCTATGTTTAAGTCTTTAATCCATTTCATGGTAGTTTTCTTTGGCATGTGAACGTCCAGTTTTCCCAGCACCATGTAGTGAAGAGCATGCTCTTTCCCCATTGTAGTCTTTGCTCCTTTGCTGTAAATTAGCTTACCATATATGCGTGGGTCATTTTCTTGGCTCTGTTGTCCCCTTCTCCTCCTGCCTTCAATCTTTCCCACCATCAGGGTCTTTTCCAGTGAGTCAGTTCTTCGCATCAGGTAGCCAAAGTATTGGAGCTTCAGCTTCAGCATCAGTCCTTCCAGTGAATATTTAGGATTGATTTCCTTTAAGATTGACTGGCTGGAACTCCTTGCAGTCCAAGGGACTCTCAAGAGTCTTCTCCAACACCACAGTTCAAAAGCATCAATTCTTCAGCACTAAGCTTTCTTTGTAAGTCCAACTCTCACATCCATGACTACTGGAAAAAACAAAACTTTGACTAGATGGACCTTTGTTGGCAAGGTTATGTCTCTGCTTTTTAATTTACTATGCTGTCTAGGTCAGTCATAGCTTTTCTTCCAAGGAGCAAGCATCTTTTAATTTCATGACTTCAGTCACCATCTGCGGTGATTTTGGAGCCCAAGAAAATAAAAGTCTCTCACTGTTTCCATTGTTTCCCCATCTATTTGCCATGAAGTGATGGGACCAGATGCCATGATCTTAATTTTCTCAATGCTGAGTTTTAAGCCAATTTTTTCACTCCCCTCTTTCACTTTCATCAAGAGGCTCTTTACTTCTTCTTCGCTTTCTGCCATAAGGGTGCTGTAATCTGTGTATCTGAGGTTACTGGTATTTCCCCCAGCAATCTTGATTCCAACTTGTGCTTCATCCAGACTGGCATTTCTCATGATGTACTCTGCTTATAAGTTAAATAAGCAGGGTGACAATAAACAGCCTTGATGTACTCTACCATGAGAAGGCATTACCTATTTAAAAATTAATGCAAAATAGGACAAAAATCTTTGTGCAAGCAGACAAAAAACAATGTGCAAGCAGAAGAGATATATTTAATCTTGTAAGAAGTTTACTTTCTACTCATCCTTAGAAAAATATTTGAGTATACCCAGTTAAATCTCACAGTGAATTCAAAACTGGAAAGGTACAGAATCCACAGTTTGTAAAAACTTGAGAAAATCTTAAAGGCAGTCATACAGTATGGAAGAATCCATTTGAAATCAACACCAGGAAACTCTCCTTTGAGGAAGGAGAAAGATTTGACCTCAGATTCTTTAAGAAGGAAATGAAATTCAACATGTACACATGATTTGTCTCTTCAATAAACACTTCATAAGTACCAAATATATGCAAAGCATTCATCTTGGCACTAGACGAAGAAACTAAATTTATGACGATGTATCTCGGGTCTAGAGTGATGCAGCAGAGGGAGGCAGGTGGCTAGACTATGAAAAAATAAATGCATAATTATAATGTCACTACAGTGGGGTAAAAAAACAAAAGAAAAAGATATTGATGCAATGTGGAGAGCTTTTAGGGTGGTCAAGGAAAGCATCTCTGTTAGGTAACACTTAGAACTACTAACAAAATGAGGAGGTAAGCTTAAAGATATGTGAGGAGGAGAGTTCTAGGTAAGAAACATAAAATACCTAAGGCAGACGAGTACTTGGTATATTTAAAGAAACAGCAAAAAGATTAGTGTGACTAAAACAAATATGTGTAAGCCAGAAACCCACTGGAGAGTTTTGAGCAGTTAAGCATGTTCATGTATAAAACAGATGACATATTATATAATTTTCTTCCTACTCTCTCCTTATTGTGAAGAGTTTTAACAAAAACAAAGAAATGTACATATGTGTAACACTGTTAACTGAATTTTGACTTTTAGAATACATAAATTTCAAAAAAAAAGTATACATAAATTTCAGAAGACAACAATGGCTACAGAATACAAAGTAAATGTAATCAACATCGACAATATAGAATTATATATAGCTGAAAGAGATGTGAAATAGAGACAGGAAGGTGGAAGAAGGGTGAAAGCTTTATATAACTATTTTACAGAATGGAGATTCAAGAAACACTGTCTACAAATGACAGAAAAAAAAGATGTTTAAGTATGTAATTTACGATTAAAGTGACAACTAGAGAGACTGAGAACAGTAACAAAATTTGGGGGAAGCCTACGTCTTATAAATTAGTTCATTTCTCTTCTGTAACAGCAAGAAATTAATGGACAATGCTCAACACTGGCAAGTCAAGAAAGATAGGAGTATCAGAGATGAAAGAAATTACCAGAAGATCTGAAATACAAATCGATTAAAAAAGTTTGCTTAAGAGGGCAAGAAAGAGATAAGGGAGTGCAGGATGTGTCTGTTGCTTTTTGTTATATTCCACTTTGAACCATTGTTGTTCAGCCGCTACATTGTGTCCAGGTCTTTGTAGCCTCATGAGCTGCAGCATGCCACGCTTTCCTGTCTTTTGCTATCTCCCTGAGTTTGCTCAAACTCATGCCCATTGAGTCAATGACACCATTCAACTATCTCTTCCTCTGTTGCCCCTTCTCCTCTTCCCTCAGTCATTCCCAGCATCAGGATCTTTTCCAAATGAGTCAGTTCTTCGCATCAGATGGCCAAAGACTTAGAGCTTCAGCTTTAGCATCAGTCCTTCCAGTGAATATTTAGGAATGATTTCCTTTAGGATTGACTGGTTTGATCTCCTTGCAGTCCAAGGGACTCTCAAGAGTCTTCTCCAGCCCCACAGTTTGAAAGCATCGTTTCTTTGGTGCTCAGCCTTCTTTATGGTCCAACTCTCACATCCATACATAACTACTGGAAAAACCATAGATTTGACTAGATGGACCTTTGTTGGCAAAGTGACATCTCTGCTTGATAAGTCTAGGTCTGTCACAGCTCTTCTTCCAAGGAGCAAGTGTCTTTAATTTTGTGGCTGCAGTCACCATCCACAGTGATTTTGGAGCCCAAGAAAGTGAAATATGACACTGTTTCCACTTTTTCTCCCATCAGTTTGCCATAAGTATATATCATTTTGATTCATTCCCCTCAAGAATGGTTTTGAGTTTTAAAATAAATAATACATTTCTAACTGTATTTATACATTATTCCACAATCAAAGATAGGAAAAAAAAAAAAATAACAGCTTAGTAGTCACAGCACACAGGCTTAGTTGCTCTGTCGCATGTAGAATCCTCCCAGATCAGGGATCGAACCCACATCGTCTGCATTAGCAGACATATTCTTTACCACTTTACCACTGTGCCACCAGGGAAGCCCAACACAAAGGATATAGAAACAAAGTAAATGACATCACAAGGAAATAAACCAGTATTTAGTATGAGGGACAATGTTTAGGAAAATTGACTCCATTTCTAAAACAAGTCAATGGCAGGGACAAAAAAGGGAAAGATTATTCTACACTAATAGGGATTTAAGAGGTACAGCCATCAAAGTATGGATGTCACCTGGATCCTCTTTTGAACAAACAACTATAAAAAAATATTTTTAAACAATGGGGAAATTTTTATTTTGAACTGTATATTAGATGATATCAAAAATATACTGTCAGTCATTAAATTATAAAATGCCATTTTGATTATGTAGGAAAAATGTCCATTACTCTAGCACATGAGAATGAATGACCCATCAATAACCAGCAATGAAATGGAGATCCTGTTATGATAATTGTATAGCACTAATGGAACCAGAGTAGCCACAATTTTCATGGATTCAGATTTACAGAACATTAGCTAATAAATTTCAGGTATCTGAAGCTGCTTAAAAAAAAAAAGAAAAAATGCCCATTACTTTTAGGTTACATATAAAAGTGAAATGATATATCTGAGATTTGCTTTAAAATAATTCAGCAAGGAAAAAACATGAACTAGAAAATGTGCCAAAATCTTAACTGCTAAATCCAAGTGCTGAGTATATAAGAAGCAGGACTCAAGTTTTTGTAACAAAAATTTTAAAGGACTTTATTTTTATCTGATTAATTTCAGGGTGCTACTAGACATGCAATTCGAAATGTTTAGTACATAATTTTATATATAAATTGAGCTCTGGGAAGAAGTAGAAAATTAGAAGTTATGTGTTCTAGCCATGGGACTGAACAGAATCACTTAGAAAAGTGGGAGGGTGGGAGGAGCCAAGATAGAGTGTTGGTATGTCTAACAGTTGAAGGTGGAGAAGTGGAGAAGTCAGGGAAGAAGATAGAGACGATGCAAGAAGTCACTGAGACAGAAAGAAATCCAAGAGAGTGTGGTGTTACCAGAAACCGAGAGAAAGGTACTTCAAAAGGGAAAATGTATTCAATGAATGTCTAAAAGTTTCTGGAAAGTTTGGAACTTTCCTAGAAGTTCAGTGGTTGGGGGTCTGCCTTGCAATGAGGGAGACGTGGGTTCACTCCCTGGTGGGGAACTAAGATCCCATATGCCACAGAGCAGCAAGACTCACATGCTGCAACTAAGATCCAACACAGCCAAATAAATAAATACTTAAAACAAAAAATTTCTGAAAAGTGACTAACAGATTCGGAGACATGAAGATCACTAGTGACCCCTCACAAAAGCAGCACCAACAGTGAAAGAGATGAAGGCCTTTTGATCATCATTCTTCAAAAAATCTCCCATATATTTTCCTAAATTCCAAATATGTTTTAATGTACAACAATTCTCCCATTTTATTACAGTTAGTCCAACCTCTTCTGGAAGCATTGGGGCATTTCCTCAAACATCTGAATACTTAGTATTACAGTTCTCCACAGTTGAGAATTAACTATTACTTACACAGCCATCATGCACATTCAAGGTTGCTTCAAGTTTTAATCTTTGGATAAATTCTCTTCTTCCTGTTTAAAAAGAAAGAACTCAATATATCAAACAACTCAATGCTTAGAAAAGTGTAACACTGTTAAGAGCCTAGCAACTGACCTGAGTTAGATTCAAGCTCTACCTTGAGTGACAGTGGGCAAATTAACCCCTCCTCAGCCCTAGTTTCCTCACTAGAGTACCTGCCTACCTCCTGTGGTTACTGTTAAGAAGTAAGTGACTCAAGGATATAAAGGACTTAGCACATTATCTAGAACCACAATAAATACTCAAATGTTCCCTTCCTTCATTCATTCACCAAATATACTACCTGCTTACTCCATTTCAGGTGGTGTTACAGGAGCTAGGGATACAATGGTAAAATAAAAAAGATTCCTGACTCTAGTTAGCTTAACAAAAGACAATATACAATACGTGACAATACACAAAACAGTATAAGGAAAAATAAAGCAGCTAGAAAAAGACTTAAAGAAGACTGGAGGTGGGTAATACAGTTTTCAATTTTAAACTGGGTGGCAAACAGTGTTTTATAAGATTCCACCTATTTTTAAACACATCTCAATTTCAGAAATGCTAAAATACTTAAAATTCATTTCACAATGATGAAATGTGACAGGAAAAAACTAAAATCAGCCTCACTGTCCATCAATAGCAGAACAGTTACAATACTTCAAAAGTAGAATAAATTACTCCTTTGAAAAACAGAAACATGTTTCTTTAGGAACGAATCATCTTTACCAAAAATGGACCAAAAAAGCTTCATGTTTATTCAGAAGCTGTAATGAAAAGAAGCTGAATATATGACAAAGAGTGGTAATTAGCTAAGAAATCAGGCTGATGAGATTTCAAAATTAAATTTGACTATGCTCTCTGTATACTGTCACAAGGGACAGATTTCTCTACTACAGTTTTCTTGTGTTCAGTGTGAAAACCAAGATCTTGAAGACAAACTGTTTTCTTTGTCCTTGTTTATAACTGGTTAAGATGGCTATATAATGGATGAACATGTGGTTAAAAATTCTGTGTGTGGGGAAGGTGGGAAAAGGGGAGTATGGTTCTTATTAGAATAAACTTATTAGAATAAAACAACCTGCAGAAATTCAGCAAAGTATTTTCACAAATTACATTATACTTTATATATAATCAACTTTCCACATCTGATTTTCAGTTTTTTTTCTTTTTCTCATTGACTTTACAATTGATTTAGTTGCCCTATTGTCTATTTCAGCCAGTTTTAAAACATTTCCTTTACACTGGATATGTGATATGATTCATTCTATTTTTAATCAAGTTTAATTTTCTATCAGATCCATTACATACTATAATAGTGAAGTGAAAGTTGCCCAGTCGTGTTTGACTCTTTATAACCCAAAGGACTATACAGACCATGGAATTCTCCAGGTCAGAATACTGGAATGGGCAGCCGTTACCCTCTCCTGGGTAATCTTCCCAGGTCTTATATGAACCCAGGTCTATAATACAGCCTACATAAACAGACAAATGTATTGATTTGTCTCTTCAAATTGGTAGCAAATTAAAACTGTAAGCCTTCGAAAAGAATATCAAGTTCACCAACGAATTAATGTGCAATGTCTTCAAGATGGATTTAATTTGTGCCACTTGATAACAACCTTTACTGGATTTGTAACTGTCTCTTTCCACTGGCTCGCTGTTTCATGGTTACTGTTTTCCCTTATCCAAATCTGTCCCAAAAAATGTCTTTAAAAAATGCTAACTGTGGTAAACAGATAAAATTTTTAGAAATCTTTCCTTTGGCTGTCAGCATCTGTGGTAATCTTAATGAGCTGCAAATTTAGAGTTCAGAAATAAAGTATTCAAATTAACATGATGGTAACTAAAATTCATTAAAATGCTAAGAAAAAAGTATTAAAAACTTTTTTCTAAATTTCTAAACATCTGGGTTTGAAAACATGGCTCTAGCCATTTCCAACTAGAGGAAATGGCAGTGCAACATGAGAGAACAGAAGATGAAGTGAGTAATTTGAGCAAGAGCTCTCATACATGAGCCTGTACATAAAAACGTGCCCTGAGACAAGACAGCTCCCGAATGATATTTTTATATGTGACTTAGGAGCTCAAAATGACTACTGTCCACACATTCCATAAAAAGGGCTTCGAGAACAACCTAGTATAAACCTCCTCAACTCTTCTGATAATTAAATGCACTACACTGAGAAACAGAAGCTGAAACCTAGGACAAAATAAGAACTGGAAGTTAAAAAGCTGAGTCTTCTGAAATTAAAACAAAAATAAATTATTACCTATTATCAAGAACTGTGGCCTAGCTGTAAGCTAACAAGTTACCTGCCACCATCTTATAGATGCTATCAGAAGACACAAGACTCCACTCAGAGGCAAAGAACCATTCTACTCTAGCAGAGTGAGCTTCAGGATCAATGGTTCCTCTTGTCCAATTCCCACAGGGCAATGTAGAGAGGGGCCTGGGGGGATACTGCACATGCAATGGCTTTGAATCACAGATGGAGTACCCTGAACTGAGGAAACCCAAATCTTATATCAAGCACATCTACCTAACCTTTGTCCCAAAAGACATTATCTTTATTATTTTGGACAATAAACAAATCTGCCTTCTGCTTCACACAGATACTGAATGCTCTATCTCCCAAGGCTGTTCCCTAAAAAAAAAAAAAAAAAAATCTTGTAAAGACAGTCCAGAGCAAAGAAGCCAGTGCCTCTGCTCAAAAGATGTACAGAAATACAAAGGTGACATGGAGAACTGTCTCCCAGCTATTACACATTTATTAGGGATCAATGTACCTACCATTGTGGCTTTCTATTCAAGTGTTTCTGTAGCCCAAGCTGCCTCATTTAATTCCATCTCTTTTACATTCTATTATATGTGATAGATTGTAAGCTGCATTAAAAAAAAAGGAACACTCTTTTGTTGACCGAAGTATCCTAAATGCCTAGAACAGTGCCTAAGACAATGTAGAAACTGAACATAGGTTTTCTGAATCAGTGAGTAAAATAACAGGATCATAATACTTATTTTGCTCTTTAACATGCTTCCTCTCAAAAAGGTGAACATCTTTCATTGCAATACTGCTCATATTTAATGGTTTTGTAACTTACTAAACTGTTTCATAACTCATTTATTCACATACCTATCCCTGTTACTAGACCATGAGTTGCTTGGTACAAGAAATGTTAGGCTTAAATATCTAACTTGGATCATTACACATGTATATGGGGCAAAACTTAACAACTCAGGGCCTTAGTACTATATTTGTAAAAATTTTATATTTGATGGGAATAATACCATCAACTTCATAGGCTTATTGTCATAAGCAAATTAATCAGCATATGCAAAACTCATAGATATGTCTGATCTACTACAGACACTTAAGAATAGTTCTCTCCTAAAGGGAACCCTCCTACACTATTGGTAGGAACGTAAATCAGTTCAGAAAAGAATGGAGGTTCCTTAAAAAACTAAAAATAGAGCTACCATATGACCCTGCAATCCAATTTCTGGGCATAGAGCCAAAGAAAAACATGATCTGGAATGATACATGCACCCCAATATTCACCGCACCAATGTTTACAATAGCCAAGACATGGAAGCAACCTAAATGTCCATCAACAGATGAATGGATAGAGAAAATGTGGTACAATGGAATATTACTCTCTGAGTAATTCTGCTTCTTTGATTGAACTCATTTATGTTAACACTTTCAGCAAACTAGCAACAGAGGGAAACTTCCTCAATCTGATAATAAGCACCAGTAAAAGACCTAAAACTTATATTTAATGGTGAAAGACTGAATGCTTCCCATTTAAGATGAAGACAATACAAGGAAGTTTCACTTTCACCACTACTATTAAACATGTTCCTGGAAGTTTTAGAGATAGAGATAATGTAAGAAAGAAAAAGAAAGGTACATACTCTGGAAAGTAAGAAATAAGAGAGTCCCTACTGAAAGATGATATAATTTTCCATGTAAAAAATCTCCTGGTATATACCTCAAAACCTCAAAAGATGTATATACAGACTACATCATGCAAAATGCCAGACTGGATGAAGCACGCGCTGGAATCAAGACTGCTGCGAGTAATATCAATAACCTCAGACATCAGATGACACTACGGTTATGGCACAAAGCGAAGAAGAACTAAAGAACCTCTTAACGAAAGTGAAAGAGGAGAGTGAAAAAGCCGGCTTAAAACTCAACATTCAAAAAACTAAGGTCATGGCATCCAGTCCCATCACTTCATGGCAAATAGATGGGCAAACAATGGAAACAATGATAGACTTTATTTTCTTGGGCTCCAGAATCACTGCAGATGGTGACTGCAGCCACGAAATTAAAAGACACTTGCTCCCTGGAAGAAAAGCTATAACCAACCTAGACAAAGCAGAGACATTACTTTGCCAACAAAGGTCCGTCTAGTCAAAGCTATGGTTTTTCCAGTAGTCAGTTATGGCTCTGAGTTGGACTATAAAGAAAGCTGAGAGCCGAAGAATTGATGCTTTTAAATTGTGGTGTTGGAGAAAACTCTTGAGAGTCACTTGGACTGCAAGGAGATCCAACCAGTCCATCCTAAAGGAGATCAGTCCTGAGTGTTCATTGGAAGGACTGATGTTGAAGCTGAAACTCCAATACTTTGGCCACCTGATGCAAAGAGCTAAGTCACTGCAAAAGACCCTGATGCTGGGAAAGATTGAAGGCAGGAGGAGAAGGGGACGACAGAGAATGAGATGGTTGGATGGCATCACCGACTCAATGGACATGAGTTTGAGCAAGCTCTGGGAGATGGTGATAGAGTTGGCGTGCTGCAGTCCAAGGGGTCACAAAGAGTCAGACAGGACTGAGTAACTGAACTGAACTGAGCAAGATTACAGGATATAAGACCAACACATACCAAAAAAGAAAAACATACTGTTATATACTAATAATGAATGGGCAGAAGTTGAACTTTAACACAATACACTTAAAACTGCTCTTAATTAAAAGATTATTAAACATTTAGACATAAG